AAAAAGAAAGAAAGAAAAGAAAAGAAAAGAAAAAGAAAAAAAAGAAAATAACCAAAAAGTGATAGTGATATTTAAATGTTAATGAAAAAATTCATAGTGAAACAATTTGGCATATGACCTTTATAAAACATTTCATAATAAATGCAGGACGTAGTTTATTTTTCAAATGCATATGTAAAATTCATAGATAGAACAGATTTGGGGCCATAAACGAGTCTTAGTAAATTTCAAAGAATCAAAATCATGGAGAGAACATTCTATGACTACAAGGACATTAGGTTACAAACCCATCATAAAATATATCTAGAAAACGCTCTGCATATTTGGAAATTAAGCAGTACACACACACACACACACACACACACACACACCCCCATGGGTCAAAGAACAAATCACAAGAGAAATATTTTTGAATTCATATTAAGTAATAATAAAAACATAACATAGCAAAATTTGTGGAATGGACCTAGCGTATTACTAAAATAAAAATGTATGACTTTAAATGCCTATTTAGGAAAGAAAGGTAAAATAAAGACTCCAACTTAAGAAGCAAGAAAAAGAGTAAATGATATACAAAGCAAGTAAAAGGAAAGAAACACAAATAACAGCAGAGACAAATAAAAGACAAACAAAAATATTAAAAATCTGAAAGTTGTTTCTTTGAAAATACTAATAAAGCCCTCAGTAAGACAAAAAACAGAAGAGAAAAAACAAATTACCAATAATAGGAATACAATAGAAAGCATCAATACAGGTCTTCAAAAATTAAAAGGATTAAAAAGGGGGATATTATGAAAAATTTTATGAAAATAAATTCAATAACTTAGATTAAATTGACAAAATACCCTGAAAAGCACACATTCATAAAATTGGCTCAAGAAAAACTAGAAATTCTGAATGGCCCTATATTTATTAAAGAATTTGAATTTGAAATTAAAAATCTTCCCCAAATGAAAACCACCAACCCAGGTGGCTTCATTGACAAATTCTACCACATATTTTAAAAGAAACTTTACTCAAATGCTCCCAAAATGTAAAAGGAAAAGATCAAATTAGCTTATTTGATGAGGTGACTTGTAGAATAACATGTAAGTCAGATAAAGACACGATAAAAAGCTACAGACCAACATTCCTTATGAACAGAGATGCAAAGATTCTTAACAAACAATTAATAAACCAAATCCAGGCACATGTAAGTGAGAAAATACATTATGACAAAGCAGAGTTTATCCCAGGAGTGAAAGGTCAGTTTAATATTTACTGGAGGTCTCAACCACTTAAGCCAAGAAACAAGAAAAAAGGGAGAAGCAAAAATGTCTTCATTTACAGATAACGTGATCATGTTTGAATAAAGTACTAAATGCTAAGGAACCACCACCATCACCAACAAAAAGCTGCTAGAACTAATAAACGGTCTTAGAAATGTTGCAAAAACAGTTGGTTAATACACCAAAAAATCAATTATATTCCTACGTACCAAAAATAAATGCTAAAATTTAGAACTTTAAAATGTCATTATTATAGCATTAGAAATCACAAAAATAAAAAAAAATCTTTAAAGAGAGTGCTGTTTGCTGAAAACTGTAAGGCCGGTTGCCTCGCTGAGAGTGAAACGGACGCGTCCATCACTCTCCACGCTTGATAACTACGTCATCACCCAAGCTTGTTATCTGGCCTTGCCACATGGCTTCCCCGCACCCGCCTCTGCATACCATACCCAAGCCTACACTTAGCACTAAACTATGCATACAACCCCCAGCCGCTGTTGAAAAACCCTGCTGAAAAATTTTTAAAGAAGCCCCAACCTGCCCGTACGCCCCCCCCCGGCCAGCCCACTTACCCAAGGTCCCGCCTGCCTACCAACGTCAACTAGCTCCATGTACTTCCTGCTTCTCAACAGCCAATAGAATTGCCTTCACTTTGTTTCCCCACTAGCCACTCAAGGCCCACTTACCCAAGGTCCCGCCCACCTACCAATGGCAACTAGCTCCATGTACTTCCTACTTCTCAACAGCCAATAGAATTGCCTTTGCTTTGTTTCCCCAATAGCCAATCAATTGCCCTCCCTCTCCATAAAACCCCAGGCCCTGAACAGCTGTGCACGACTTCTTTGGCCCCTTCTTGGACCACAGAACCTAGCCTGGGAGCTGAATAAATTAGGTTCCCATTTTCTTATACTTGCCTCAGTTTCCTCATTTTACCTCAGCAATAAACCTTATAAAAACTACAAAATATTTATGAGAAAAGTAAAGACTACCTAAATAAATGGATAGATCCAGGTTCATGGATTAGAAGACTCATTACTAAGTGTTCTTTCACCTCAAATAAATGTATACATCTCACAGCATCCTATCAAAACACCACTATGTTCTTTCTAAAAAACTGACAAGCTGATTCGAAATTGTAAAAGGAATTAAAATACTCTATGGATAAAAAGTGAGAAAAAGTTAACATTAAATTAAAAAAATAGATATAAAAGCAATCACCTTGAGAAATTATGAACATTATAGTCTTACCTTCTAAAGCATTCTGGGAACCATTCAAGGCCCTTAAATAAAAACACTAAGATATTATTTGCCCTTTTTTTTGAGAGGGTGTCTTGCTGAGATATTGAGGCTGGAGTGCTGTGAATTTTCACAGGCACAATCATAGCACACTGGTGCCTTAAACTGCAAACTCCGTTTTGTTTTGTTTTGTTTTTGTTTTTTGAGTCTCACTCTGTCACCCAGGATAGAATGCAGTGGCGCAGTCTTGGCTCACTGCAACCTCCACCTCCCAGATTCAAGCAATTCTCCTCCCTCAGCCTCCTGAGTATCTGGAATTACAGATGCCTGTCCCCACACCTGGCTAATTTTTGTATTTTTAATAAAGACAGTGTTTCACCACCTTGGCCAGATCGGTCTCGAACTCCTGATCTCGTGATCTACCTGCCTTGGCCTCCCAAAGTGCTAGGTTTACACGCATGAGCCACCATGCTGAGTCTACCCAAACTCCTATTCTTAAGCTATTCTTCTGCCTCAGCCTCTGAATTAATGATTTGCACTTTTTTTTTTAAGAGGAAGTCTCACTCTGTTTCTCCCAGGCTGGAGTGCTGTGGCGTGATTTCAGCTCACTGAAACCTCCGCCTCCAAGGTTCAAGCTATTCTTCTGCCTCAGTCTCCTGAGTAGCTGGGATTACGGGCACCTGCCACCACATCTTGCTAAGTTTTTGTATATTTAGTAGGGATGAGGTCTCACCTTATTGGCCAGGCTGGTCTCAAACTCCCAACCTCAGGTGATTCGTCTGCTTCAGCCTTAATTATTTGCCTTTTTAAAACATAATTTCTCATAAATGTAAATAAAGTTTCTCCAGAGCTTAAGTGGCATGTATTATAACAACAGATTAAATGCAGAAGCAAATCTGAGAATGTGACTTGTCTTCTTTTCAGCCAACAATTTAAAAAATATTGGCTTTGAAATTAAAATTTTTGGCAAAAGTGCAATATATTACCACTCTTCTGTTTTTTGACTTGGAAAATAATTAATTTTCATTAATTTTTATCTTAACATGTAATGAATATTTTTAAATTCTCAGTTTTAATTTTTAATACGGTAAATATTGATACAGATAATGCACATTAATAAAAGCTCTTTGGGGCCTCAAAAACTTGAAAGCAAAGGGGTCCTGATACTAAAAACTTGAAAATCACTACAGTACAAGAACAATTTCTAAGTAGTACATGTGGAGAAAATAATTCAGGTTACTAAAAGGAAAACCAAAAAAATATGTTTTAGAAAGACTTCCTAAATGTTAATATTTAGATTTTCTTAATGAGACACACTATTAAGCCTCAGTTCTTAAATAATATTCACCAATAAAGCAATAGGCTAAGGCCAACACAACAAAAGATACACACAGAATTGTTTTCTACTTCTTCCCATAATGAAGCATCCCCAGTATAACAGAAATGAAAGTAGTTCTCCAAGTCTCATGCCCAATTTTAAAGTTAGATTCTGCCTACACATTAAGCCCTGTTTTCGTTTTCCCAAACTCTCCCTCCCTTACTCTACTGTTTCGACCATCGTGATTACAACCTTCTAATATATTATAAATTTACTTGTTTCTAACATTTGTTTTATGTCTCCACCCCATAAGCTAAATAAGAGGAGGGAGGTTTGTTTTGTTTTTTTCCTGCTTTATTCACTGATATATTCTCTGTACCTAGAATAGGGCATACTTGAAAATAGGCACAAAATATTTATTGAATGATCTAAGGAGTATTTTACTGAAGTAAATGTAAACTTCAGCATTTTACTAGGACAGAAGCAGTATGTCTTATCAATTAATTCCTGCACACAGCCAGTAAATGCAAGCATCATATACTCAGGAGGAATGCTGTGGCTGAAGAGTTTTCTCTTCTAGTCCCAGAAATGAACAAAGATAAGAAGACAAAGATAAGAAAAAGAGATGTGCTTGGACACAGTCCAAACTGGATGCAGTGGAAGTAGGTTTTCTCCAATCCTAGGATTAGAATTCCACAGACACAAACAAAGAAAAATGAAAGAACAACTAACACACCTCTCTTCTCCCGATGTATTTCATCCAGAAGCTGCTCCTGCCTTTCTATCTGTTGAAACAGACACTGCAGCTCGGATTCCTTGTTTTCGGTCAAATTCCTGAGTTGTTGTCTGCAGAGCGTCAGCTGTTGTCGCAGATTTTTCTCTCTGTTTTCTCTTTCTTTCAGTTCCTCACAGAGCCACTGAAGTTTAGTCTAAAAAATGACATTTATATCTAATGGTTAAAGAAATCCAGAAAAGAGTAGCATTTCAAAACATGAGGAAAAAAATGAGTAACATCACGATAATCTGAACAAATAATTACCAAATTTTTGCAAAATTTTAAAATACTCATGTTTAAGTTGCATAATGGTTTATATCAATTAAAAGTTGGTTCAGAAATTAAGCCATAATATTCATAGATTTTTATAAAATATTTGGTGTCATCTTTAGAAAGACCAAATTTGGCCTATTAAACCTTCAATAATATTATAGATAATCATCTGATTTGATACATAGGGCAGTCTAGTATAGGAATTTAAAAATCAAATACATCCCAGAATATAACTACAGAGTTTTTATAAAAGAAGTATTAATTCAGAAAATCTTCTAAAAAATAAAATTCCTAGCATGACTTCTGAAAATGCTTTTTCCCATTGATCTAGCTAATTAGGTAGGAGGAGAGATTCCTTATGGACTAGAAGATACAGAGTTAACGTTTATGCTTCTAAGACACAAGGAAAGTGAATTCGGGCAACTCTTCTTCACAGACTCTAATCTCACCTATCTTTTTCTTTATCTCTCTCTCTTTTTTTTTTTTTTTTTTTTTTTTTTTTTTTTTTTTTTTTTTTTTTTTTTTTGTTGCCCAGGATGGAGCTCAGTGGCAGGATTTTGGCTCACTGTAGCCTTGATCTCCTGGGCTCAAGCAATCCTCCTGATCAGCCTCCTCAGTAGCTGGAATTACAGGTGCCCACCACCATGTCTGGCTGTTTTTTGTATTCTTTGTAGAGCTGGGGTTTTGCCATGTTGCCCAGGCTGGTCTCAAACTCCTAAGCTCAAGAAATCCACCCATCTCAGCCTTCCAAAGTGCGGGGATTACTGGCGTGAGTGACCACACCCAGCCCTCACCTACCTTTAGTATTCAGATATTTAGAACAAGAATGGGAAAATAAGTATTTCTTTCACCTTCAGTACAGCAGGATTTCAGTCAAGTCTCAGGACGTTCCTAAGTCAGGCTATCCTCCAATTTCTAGTTAATTTTAAACAATCTAGACAGTCTTTATCCCAATAAGAAGCAAAATGAGAGAAGCAGGAGACGAGATGGAAAACTTTGGTTAAGGGATAGTTTTTCTGAGTAGCACTCATCCATAAGCAGGAAGTTTTTAGGCCTCTAGAAGTCTAGGAGCTTCTTAGGACAATCCATAATCTATTGGAAGAGGCTGTGGCCAAATAGCTTAGCCTATGATTAAGTACAACTGGGGTATGGACCATATACTAGGGCTCCACCCATACGTCAACTTTCAAACACCCAGCAGCAAAGAAGAAATACAGCCCCTTTGGTCAGAAGGCCTGTCTAACATATAGTGCGTCTGTGACATAGATCAAAAATCACTGAAACGCAAGCAATGTATTTTATGTGAAATATACTGTCTTAAGGAAAATCATGCCTTTGAACATAAAACGTGTATCGTAATCATTAACATAAACTCTCATCAGAAACAAAAGGGGGCCATCATAACAGTTCCTCTTCTGGAATGATGGTATATAGAGTTCTGTGGAACTGGTCCCTAGTGAAATAGCTGTAAGTGCTAAAAATAATTTTTTAAAAATTAACATTTCTAAATATCGTCCTATGGCCATACAGCAAATGAACAAACATTTATTCAATAAACTCTATTTAACCTCATTAAAGTCGCATTTGAGACATAACTGACTCCCTCCTTCCTACCCTCAGTATGACAAAAGCTCCACTCCTCATTCCAGAAAAACTCTGCCAAGAAAACAGGGTTTTCTCTTTCTCCAGTTCACAGTCAAGGTACATGATAGCATGCTGGATGGGCAGATCAGGATTTTTCAGGCTTGCAGCTCTGATTTGTAGAGGCTAAATTCTCAGCAAGTGGAGCAAGATGTTGAGAATCCCTTGCTCCTGCAATGTCTGATAGGATTGTTACTCTACCCCAGGCACAGCAGGCTGAGAATACTGGAGTCCCAACTACTGTTTCTCTAGACCACTTATAATAAAGCTGTACTTATGAATATGCCTGATGAATACAGATCTTTTAAAATCCTTGACAAAATACTAGCAAACAGAATTCAGCAACCTATAAAGAGAACATCATGATTGATATGGTTTGGCTCTGTGTCTCCACCGAAATATCATGCTGAATTGTAATTTCCAATGTCAGGGGAGGGACCCAGTAGGAAGTGACTGGATCATGGGGGTAGTTTCCCCCTTGCTGTTCTCATGATTGTGAGTGAGTTTTCAGGACATCTGGTGGTTTAAATGTGTGTAGCAAACCCCCTTTGCTCTCTCTCTCTCTCTCTTGCCTCCATGTGAAGATAAGATGTGCCTGCTTCCCATTCACCCTTCCCCCAGGATTGTAAGTTTCCTGAGGCCTCCCCAGGCAAGCCTCCTGCATAGCCTATAGAACTGTGAGTCAATAAAACCTCTTTTCTTTATAAGCTACCCAGTCTCAAGTAGTTCCTTACAGCAGCATGAGAACAAACTAATACAATGATCGAGTGGAAGTTATCCCAAGAATGCAAGGTTTAAGATAGGAAAATCATTAATGTACTATACCATATTAATAGAATTAGGGACAAATGCCATATGATTATATCAACAAATACAGAAAAAGCATATAATAATATTAAACATTCCTTCATAATAAAGACACTCAAATAACTACAACTAGAAAAAACTGCTTAATATGATTTTTAAAATATCTACGGAAAACCCACAGCCATTATCATACTTAACAGTAAAAGTCTGAATGCTTTTGCTCTAAGATCAGAAACAAGAAAAGGATATCAGCTCTCACCACTTCTATCAAGGGTTAAGAAAAGGCAATTATACAAAAAAATAAAAGGAAATAAAAATTAATTATATGTTTTAATTATTTTAATTAAAAATTAATTATATTTCTATATGTTAATATTTGTAATGAGTAAGCCAAAAATAACATTAATAAGATAATCATATTTACAATAGCACCAAAAAAATAAAATATTTAGTTACAAACATAAAACTGCAAAACTTTAAAAACTACAAAATGCTTTTTATAAAACTGAAGACTAAGTGGGAAGATATCCTATGTACATGGATCGAAAGAGAATATTATTAAGATAGCAATACACCTCACATGTATTGCTATCGGGATCCCTTTCAGAATCCCATCTGGAGTCTTTAAAGAAATTGATGAGTTGATCTTATGTTTCATATGGACAGGCAAGGGAATAAAAATAGCCCAAAAAAGATACTGGAAAAGAGCATAGTTGGAGGATTCAGGCTTACCCATTCCAAAGCTTATTATAAAGCTACAGTAATCAAGATGGTGTGGTATTGGCAAAAGGACAGATATACAGATTGATGAAACAGAATGGAAGTCTAGAAATAAACTCATATATAAATGTCAATTGATTTTCAACCACAGTGCCAAAACAATTTAATGTAGGAAAGAATAGTCTTACAAATGGTGCTAGGACAGCTAAATACACAAATGTAAAAGAATTCATTTATACCCCTGCATCATACCATATATAAAAACTAACCCAAAAAGGATCACAGACCTAAATGTTAAGAGTTGAAACTATAAGATTATCAAAAGAAAACACAGGCATAAATCATTGTGACCTTGGCTCGGCAATGGACTAGAAGTTCTAGTCCATTAGTGGTGGACTAGAACTGGTGGTTGGATTTTTAGGTAATAGCTAAGGGGTCCTGATTTTCTACTTGAGGTGATGAAAGTGCTGTAAAATCCAGTGTAGTAATGACTGTCCAATTCTGTAGACATACTAAGAAGCACTAAATGGTGCATTCTAAATGGATGAATTGTATGATATATGAATTATACCTCAATTAAACTGTTATTTAAACAAAAAAAGGAAGGGTAGAGAGTAAGTCAAGACAGAAAAACAAAGCTAAAATTACACCTTTATGAATAAATGAGACCTGGCTTTAGTACCTGCTATGCAATCTCTAGGTCTCTGTCTTGTCTGGATGTCATTGGCTAAACACAGGAAATGCCCAAATTAAACTGGGCTATGTACTTCCAATTATGATTGCAGAACTTTAACAAAGGATACTTTACTTCTCAATATTCCCTTTGAAACATCCATGCAAATACAAAACAATAAAAAGCTTCCATAAGACAGAAAATCAGGAAACAGGGTTAACTCTTTGCCAGATAAAATAAGTACTTTCTATTATCACTTTCTACTGAAACATTATGGAAGAATACAGGAAAAATATGAGACGGTATACCACCATCCCCCTATGACAATCAAGGCAGCAAATTGGGCTGTTCTTTAGAAAATGTTTTCTATGTAGAGAAGGAAACACTGAAGGCTGGAAATCAAGAGATCGTTGTAATACCCCAAGCAAGTGAGAATGCAAAGGGAAGAACCAAAGTGCACATTTTTGAGATATGATAGTTCCTCACATGTTATGGTTAAAGTAGCGAAACGAATCGGTAATGCTCAAGACATATAACCCACAATGGCCAAGTTTCTAACTTACAAAACTGTGGGACAGGCTTTAGGTATAACCCTGTGCACTCTCAGCCACGGTGGTCACAAAGAGATACACCTTCTGCTTGACCAAAAATGAGGAAAGAGTAAAAAAGACTGTCTTGCAACATGGGTACCAACTCAAGTCACAGCAAAATAAAGCACCAAGTAGACTCCTGAAGTTCCTGACTCCATGCCCTAGCTCCCAGACAGCATTTCTAAACTTACCCTAGGCCAGAAAGAAACATGTCACCCAGAAGGGAAACACACAAGCCTGGCTGGATGGACCATTTGCTGACTAAAGAGCCCTTGAGCCTTGAATAAACATCAGGCGTAGTCAGCAAACAGCTGCCATGAGCCTTGGGAGAGACTCAATACTGTGCTGGTTTCAGCTCTGACCCAGCACAGTCCCAGTGGTTGCGGACACAGAGATACTTGTTTCAAACCTCCTCCAGCTCCAGGCAGCTCAACACTGAGAGAAACACTG